GTATGGGAGAAACCAGTAGTAGAAACACCGGCCTCCCTGCAAGAATGAATGAGGAAAGAATGAAAGCAAGGAATGAATGTGAGATAATTGGACCAACAAATCCTGGACCATGGAAGTGCTCGGGATAAGCACCACTGAAGAGGTGGATGCAGTAGGATGAACAGTGCAAAGAGACATGAAAGAACAGCACGACTGAATGCAGACGTTGCCAGCAGAACACCACGGAAATGGAAGAGAGGAAGAACCTTTAAGCTGTTCGGGACGAACAACCTTTAGAAGGAAGCAATGTAATGTGCTATCTTACGGTCATCACTGCACAATGGCCACATAGGAAGTTAACAGCCTACAATGAGTCTCCACGGTTATGACAAATACACGAAGCATTCCCACAGAGACAACGCAATAACAGTGGGCTGTTGCATAGGAATTGCAGAATCAACGAAGCAGTGTTTCCCTGGTGATAGACAACAGAAGGTTTACTGCGTAGCAATGGCCGCAAATATATAAGAAGGTAATGCTTTTGCCGAGACAGTCTTGGGATAGCCGCCGCTGAAGACAGTTTGGATCCAGCCACGGTCAGGGACAGCTGAAATATAGTAGCGGTCGCGGGAAGAAGACCCGAATGCGTGTTCGGAAGATTTGATGTGATAATTTGTGATACTGCCGAGGGCAGAAATTGCGAGACTGTAAATTGTGTGATTGTAAGAGCGAGTGTTCAATGAATTCGCTATATCCAATACANATCTGAAACTATATATAAAGCACTGATTGGGTCAATAATAACTACCAGCAGATGTCACCACAGAAAGTTACAGTGTCATAACTTACAATAAAACTCAAAATGAAGTTGTATATTAGTGATGCAATGTTGTCAGCTGGCCTACTGTAACAGTAATAAGATGCAGGGACAATGAGGGCCATCATATGGAGCAGAAATATGGACATGGACTGATGCAGACATTAGCATACAAATGGAAACAGAGCCCAAATTTGTAAGAAATAGAAAAGGAAAAACTAGGGGAGAATAAAAAACAAAAACGTGAATTTAAAGATGTATTAAAATGTAATGAGTAAGATGCGCCAGACATATTTTAACAGAGGAAGAAATTAAAATGAAACAAAAAATTTTTGAAAATGGAACTAAAAGAGAACATCGAAGAAGAAAACCAATATAATGATTGGAAAAGGGGCTAGGAAAAATTTTAAGGCAGAAAGAAGGAAGAAGAGGAGGAGGAGAAGGAGGAAGCTTTGGGAAGGGAAAGATGGATGAAGAGACATGATTGATTGATGCCCCTCATTAAGTGGTAGTATCTTAGAAGAATCATTACCTCTGCTATAGCTTGATCTGCTGCCTCCATTTTGTCAAATGTAACAAAGCCACGACTGAAAAATAACATTAACATGATCAATGTTAACACAATGCTTCTAATCCATATTAGTTTAGGAACCTGAATACTGGTGATGATAAAATTATGGCCTTCTGGGATGTAGTTTGGTAAATAGCTCACCTCTATGAGGACCTCAAATCTCACTGGAATGCAATGGAATTGCACAAGGTTTCCCTACCAGCTCAGCTATTTGCTGCACTTAGCACAGTAAAACGTTGTAAGGCAAATGTTCACTATTGCTCAGAGTGCATCAAAACACATTGTTTAAACAACATTTAAGTTATCTGAGCAAAGACCATGCAGATTAAATTAATTTAAATGGTGCGGGACATGATTATAATGAAGTACTAAAACTTTGAGAACTATTTTCCTACCAGCAGCAACACAGAGTTGGGGAAAAAAAAATTCAGACCAAAAGTGTAACTCAAATGTACAATTTAATGACTCTAGTCTACAGGAATATTCTAGTAATGGTATGACTAATTACCTTTTGTATACATATATTTCTGTCTTAAATGCAGGAAGATACAAAGCTATACATGCACTTGCACATATGACAAGCCACTGGGTGGTATTACCATTTTCAGAACTGAGGGAATGAGGGGAACATCATAACTAAAGCAGCTGAATGTATTTATGTAATGTCAAAAGCTCCTTACAGTATTTAAATTTCAGGTAATGACTTTAAATAATGAGATTACTACCAAAAATATTACACCCTTTCAAAATATCTGGCTGTAAATAATTATTACCTCTCAGAGGGAAGCCATCATGAATAACAATATCATACTATTGCTGTTTTATATATTTTTAATATAAATATCCTGTACAACTTCTTTATTTCAACCATCACAACACAACTAATATCAAGATCAGTGCCTAGTTTTGGCTCTGCTACATGTTTCGGCTATTAATAGCAATCATCAGGCAAATACATGGTTAACATATATACACCACTGAACCGCAGTACTAGTAAAATTGGATACAATATTATTAATTATTTAAAATACCAGACACAAATATACAATAAATTAGATTATATAAAACAAGAATAAAATTCTTCAATTGATATTTTACATCACTGAGTCAGTCGTTGGTTTTTGTAACTTTGTTGCAGTCCCACGGACAAATTGGAATATTCTATATTTTGTGTATAAATAAAAAATGTATTGGAGGCTCATGATGTAGATGTAGTAATATTAATGTTAATTATTTAGTCGGTGCCTCATCTTACAAAGTATTGTCTGTTCTGTAGGGAATGTATACAACTTTCTTGTCACAATAATCAGACTAAGGAAAAGAGAATTTTATGGAAGGGCCGATGAGAAAAGTAGAAGCATTTTCAAAGCGTCTTTAAATGGTTTTGTGAACCAACTAAAAATGGAAAAGCTGCTTGAAGAGAACTATATACATTTCAGGAGCTTCAGTGATTCAGTATTGAGGGGGTGGGTTTCCCCATGCACCGCAACTGATAGCCTATTGTACATCCCCCTTTTAATTTCTACCATCTCCATCCCCTACCGATACTGGTGCTCGCTATCAGCCCCTTTCTGCCACCGAGGTTTCTACCCTCTACTTGGCAGTGGTATCTAATAGTTAGTCCCTTTCTGTCAGCGAGTTAGTCCCTCCTTTGGCAGTGGTACCTAATACTTTAGCCCCTTTCTGCCAGCAAGGTTTCTACCCTCTACTTGGCAGTGGTATCTAATAATTAGTCCCTTTCTGTCAGCAAGGTCGTCCCTCCTCTGGCAGTGGTACCTAATACTTCCCCATCTATCGGAGGCATTGGAAACTTTTTGGCCTAATTTAGCTCAGAGGCCTCCTAGAGGCATGAGGTTCTTTTACGTGCCGTAAATCTACGACATGGCACCCACGGCTTAAAGTCCCTCCCAGAGGACTTGTTCCCTGAATTTTTCCGCCCTTAAAAATTCCACGACCTCCTCCGGGTTTGAACCCGCGTACCTTAAGTCATGAGGTGGGAACGTTACCCCTAGACTACGGAGGCCGTTTTTCAGGAGCTTACTACATTTGGAACTTGTCACAGGATGTTAAGTCTGTTCCTGCAAATAGAGCAAATGGTTAATAATGTTGTGGCTTATAGAACTGCTGCTAGGCAATGACCCCCAAATAAACAACTATACAACAGCTGTTGCCTAGGTAATGGCTCTGCCAACAGACATGAATGCAACAACTGCACTGCAAAAGGGAAGTGGTGCTTTCTATGCGGTCTGAACTTAGAAGTTATAAAGAGGATAAGTGTGGAATCAGTGGAGTGGAGTGAATTGGTTGGCGAGTTAGTGAGGAGTGGGTGAGTGAGTTAAATAACCACTGGGATTCAGATGTTGAGAGCTGTTGTTGTTAGAAGATGGTAGCTGTGGCCGGGAAAAATTTGGGAACACAGAGGAAGGGGAACGTCCGTCACCGAAGCTGCCATCAAGCAACAACTGTGAAGAATGTAACAGACTGTGAAGACCTAGTGTGTCCTACAGTCGTTTATGAAGTGTGTAGAACAGTGACAGCATAATCCTTACTTGTGGTTAAAAGTTGTAAGAGTTCAATAAATCTGATTACCAAACCAAACCCCATCTACGGTCACTAAGATCATGGCATTATGTAGCAGGATCAGCCTACAGCATTTTCAGCTAGCTAAGCCTACGATTAGAAAATAAACATATGGCTCTAAGAATAATGAGGGAAAAGCAAACTGGCCAGCTCAGATGCTCATAGAGTAGTAGTATTTAGGAGGCAAAGGTATCATAAATATAATTAACTGGGAAACATAAGCAATTAATTGCAATTTACTGAAATGGTATTCTACACAATACATACTGTTATGCCACTACCTCTCATTTGACTCAACATAATTGTTCCCTGTAATGTCCTCAGTGTTAAGTAACCTATAACAACTAACCTTTTATGCTCACTAAAATTACTGTACTAAAGTCTCTCCCAGAAGTCATCCACCATCTAAAATAACAAGGGAGGATGCTTGCATCTGATATTCTTAGTCCTTTACTGTGAGACTCAATACGTGGTACTCTAAGTAGTTCAAACCTGGAACAGACAATGCTGCTACTTACTTTTTCTCTATTTCCATTGTTACGTTAACTATGTTGCCATATGTGTGGAACGTTTTCTTCAGGAAATCTTCAGTTATCTTATATCCTGATACAAAAATTGTGTTACCCTGCCGAGGTTTATCTGCACGACCATCACGTTTTTCAGTCAGACCTCTCTCCTCACGATCTCTGGCAGATACGAAGCTGTCATACAAGTTCTGCGTCAATATGGGGAGGAAAAAAACAGTTAATCTGCATACAAAAATACTGTTGAGTACCTGCAGTCAATTCACCTATTTTACTTCATCAGCTTCTCCTTCAGCACCACTACTCATGTCTGAAGATTCAGCCAGTAAAATACATACATACAAGGTGGTTCAAATATGACCGGGACTGTTTTGTGTGTAAACAAGCCACACTGCGCAGCAGCTGTGCAACCTTGAGAGAGTGAAGCCACAACCTGCACCCTCACTCCTGTTCGGGTTAGAACCTGTTCAGTCCTGTCTGGGAGTTGCTAGAGTGATGAGCGAACAGAAGGTACCACGTAGCGTGGAACAACGCATTGTGATCAAATTCCTCATTGGAGAAAACGTCCCCTCTGCTGAAATTCACCAGACTCCAACAATAGTATGGGGAAGAGTGTCTTACACGGACCCGTGTGTTTGAGTGGTGTAAGTGCTTCAGAGAGGGCAGAGAGCGCATGGAAAATGAACCGCATGATCGTCAGCCGCAAACATCCATCACCGAGCCAAACACTGATCGTGCAGATGCGCTTATTCATGAGAACAGGCGCATTACTATCAAGAAACTTGGAGCAATGCTGTCCATCAGTGTTGGTAGTGTAGAAGACATCGTGAAATACCACCTGCACTATTGCAAGGTGAATGCACAGTGGGTACCACGCACTTTGACGGACTTGAACAAAATGGTGCGCATGCAAGTTGCCAGTCGTCTCCTACAGCAGCTTGAAGAGGAAAGTGATGCATTTTTGAAGTCTACAGTGACCACCGATGAAACGTGGGTGAACTATTTCATTTTCGAGTCCCAGCAGTCATCACGCAAGTGGCGGCATACCAGTTCTCCCAAACCCAAGAGAGCACGGAGGAGCTGTTCGGAAGGAAAAGTGATGGCAACGTTCCTCTGGAACTGGCAGGGGGTTATCCATGTAGACTTTCTGACAGATGCCAGAACAGTCAATGCAGGTTATTACTCAGACCTCCTGGCAACAGACATGAAGGAAAAGGTCCGATCCAAGCAGAAGACAGGTCGAAAGCGGGTAGCCTTCCTTCATGACAATGCACGCCCCCATACGGCCAAAACAACAATGGAAATTGAAATGGAACCTTCTGACACATCCGCCGTACAGTCCCAATTTGGCCTCAATTTGGCCCCAAGTGATTTCTACCTGTTCGGAAGGCTCAAATCAGACTTGCAAGGCATGCAGTTTGTGGAAGACACTGTCATCCAGACTGTTCGGGAGTGGATATGCCGCCAACCACAAGCCTTTTTTAAAAAGGGCATCAGGATGCTTCCAGAATGTTGGAAAAAATGTGTTGACTCTGGAGGGGAGTACGTTGAAGACTGACATGTGCAAGTAAGTGTTTGGCAATTATGGTTTTTAAAAAAAAATCGGTCCCAGTCATATTTGAACCACCTTGTACATACACATATTTTATACTTATGTATGATAAAAGACCAAGAGAAATTAACTTCATATAACAACTTCATATTAACAAATATAAAAAAGAAGTCAAATGTACTTTTTTTTTTAAACAACTGACGTTGGCTACATTATCTTGGATATAAAATCAGTTGTTGCTTGGTAGACCAATGATGGTTACTGGATACCAAATAATGAAATTTGTCCAATCAGCAAAGCTGATTTCAACATAATCAACATTTCACACTGCAGTCCCTAGTGCATGCACCATCACCTTCTTGAAGATACTAAAAGTAAAAAAGTAAAAAGTAAAGCTATCCCTGTAACAGGCCGTGAAGGCCCATAGGGTTGTGAGATGTTGAGGGTCCCACATTATCTAGACGATCAGCTCAAAGATGGCAGTAAGGTTGTCAGCCTTACGCACCAACCGCGTTTTACTCCCCAGGAAAATTATTTAATTAATTCCTGGTACTCATTTCTGTTAGAGGCTGAGTGAAACCCAGGGCCATAGTGCGGCTGGAAGGATTAGGTCAATTGAAAAAATCCAATGACCTCATCGGGACTTGAACCCATGAACCTTCCAGCTTGTAGCATAGCCCCTCAACCAACTACACTACCGCGTACCCCAATCTTGAAGATACTATCTATACAATATTATTTACAGTGTTGTTCTCCATATATTCCTGAAATGTAATAAAAATTGTAAGAAAAGTTTCCATGAAAATCACCATTTTGTATTTTGGGGCCTATCTGTTTTTGGCGCTACAATGTTCATATTCACTGGGCATCAATCTCTGACAAAAAAATTACCAGATGCTGAATATGAATAAAATCTACCCAACAGTTCAGGTAAGAGCGAGGCATTAATCCAGAAATACACAGACACACAGACAACAATCCAAAAGCCATTTTTCAGATTTAGGGGGTCTGAAAATGTGAACATGGCCGCGCCATAGCTCAAGTGGTTAGTCGCTGGCTTCCCACCACAGTGGCCTGGGTTCGATCCCGGGTCTGGTCAAGTACGATTTGTGGTGGACAAAGTGGTGCTGGGGCGGGTTTTCTCTGAGTACTTTGGTTTCCCCTGCCAATCTTCATTCCACCAAATTCTCCATCATCATAATCACCTGGAGCAGGCTACAATAGGCCAATCAGTGGCCGCCGTGCCGAGTGGACCCAGTTGGACTCAACCCCCCACTAGGCAAATTTAAAAATGTTAACATCCATGAAAATCTTCAGATCAGCTTTTTTTCACCATCTGATACTGTGTATATGAGAAAATAAAAATGGAGTTGTAAAATATATTGCCCCTGAAATGGTGTTGTCCCAGGTGCAGGAGAACTAATCAGAGGAGAGATGGAGTATGTATCACATACAGCCATATAGCAGAAATGGCAAACACTTTTACTGCTGGTGCCAGTTCCCACTGTAAGTTGTTTAGCAATAAGTAGTAGTACCAGCTGTCTTTGTTGCTCCAGTTGTCACCTGGTATACTTAACAAGATATTTTCTGCTACACATTTTCAATTCGCATAGAATATTTACAGTACAGTTCTGTCAACAATGCAACCACTTTATTCCTTAGAATTTTCACTTTTTACAACATGCTTCAGCCCCAACAACTGGAGCTTCAAAGGCTGTTTTGAGAGTGGCACAAGCAGTGGCAATTTCATTTGTGGGATGGCTTCTTAAATCTGATTTAATATATTTCATACATAAAACTAATCAATAACGAGGAGTAAGCTTATCTAAAATACAATATATTGAGTTCTCTTGTCACTACCTAATGCACAGTGCAGAAATGTAAAGTAACAGCATAAATGTATCATACACAAAAAATATGAGAACCACAAAGATCTCTGATGCAAGGCCTCATACATGTAGAGTTTTTAATATTCTAATGTTTGGTCTTAGCTCTTGCAGATGGTTTGTGCTGTGCTTGGCTTATATATGCTATCTTGCTGCTGGTACAGGTGTCCAAAAATAGGGACTAGTTCTATTGATTTGGCCCAACTGAGTAGGGTTTACCTGAAGACACAGACAGAATCCAGTCTTCAAAATGTTGATTTTTCAAAGATAAAGATGATGGATAAAGTCCAGCAACATAATATTTGTACAAAAAATATAGCTTGGTAAACTAATGAATTAACAAGGGCCTTCATATGTCACTATATGCAGATAAAGTTACAATGACCAGTTTTAGCCAAAATCTCAGTGCTGTCAAACATGGTACCAGTGCCAAAAGGTCATAACGCTTGCAGGAGAAAGAATACAGCTCCTACCTTATACTCAGTCATAATCTTGGTCAGTGCCAATTATCCTGATAGATATTTTCATGGATTTCCCCTGGCAAATACCAGGACTCCCATTCACAATGCTCTTCATTCTCATATTTCATGATTCACACAAGCTCTTCAGTCATTACAAAATGATCTAAAACAACTCACCTTTACTTTGGGCCTGTTATCTGTTTCCATGTCTTCTGGATGCGTCGCAGAGAAAGGCTGGTACCCACTTACAGTACGTTCTGTACCAGACAGTTTCCGTTCAAGACCTCTGGGTCTTTTGAATCCGGCCTGTTCGGGTTTTTTAGGAGTCTTTACAATGGCTGTAATAGCCCCTGACTTAAGAAGTTTCTTTGCCACCTCACGTGCATCACGAGCCTCTGCTGGACGTTTTGGAGTTTGAGGTGTGCGTTCTGGTTCTGGTCGAGGTGCTTTCAACGCCTGTAATGCCTTTTTCTAAAACAAAACACCAATAAAAATATTTATATAAAATCACTTATCTAAATGTGCACAAAGAGAGTCTTGCCCAAAGAAACCAGAATGTACTCTGCCATCAGAAAGAAACCATGCTCTGATTAAGTGCATGTACAGTCATGTTCCTTTTTCTCAAGTACTCCATCTATATAGATTAGACAAAGAGAACAAACCAGTTGGCACAGCTGTAAGTATGCATTTCAAACATGTTACTGGCTCTCCTGCCTAAGATTGTTTTCCTCAGTTGTTCCACAAAAAAGGGTATGACAACTTCCTTCCAAACTCATCTCAACTCAACGTTCACAATGATATTCCCATCTCATTTTATAGTCTTTGCAAATAGATCTCTTTCATTCTTTTGCTAGTGTCAGTCTTTTAAAGACAGTGTACTTCGCAGCCTTCACTCAGTCATGTCATATGGTATAATTTTTTAACAAAACTTTAACAGTAAAAACGTATACCTTCTACAAACGAAAATAATCATGAATGCGATCAGTATTCCAAAGTGAGCCTTGTACAGGTTTATGGCCTTGCATACAAAAACTTTCACCTCCATACATATTTGCTTTAATAACATTTATAGGTAATGACCAAGATTTTCAATAATAGTCAAAGGTTCATGAAGCACTAGGTACAGACAAACGGCTAAGCTACGCCGATACAAAACGGGGCAGGCCTCTATTAAGCAGTTTAAATAAGCATGATCATTATGTCATCCTTTATTAGGCCTGCCTAACTTGCAAAATTAACAAACACAACATACTGCTTGCTGCCTAATTCGTGTTACTTTCTTGTTTGGATTACTAATCAGCCCTGACGATGGAGGAAATATGTTCCTCCGAAAAGTCGGCTGACTCTCATGGAGGCTTCAGTAGTCTTTACAGCCACCAACGTAACCTCAAAGCCAACTAAACATACCCTTTACATTAATGTCTGTTATTATATATAAGTGTTTAACGTACTTTTTTCTTAAGCTTTGCATATTTCGCTTGAAGCATCAATTCCTCTTCAGTGAGATTTGTTGGAAAGTGTAGATACACCATTTTAAATAACCTCCTCAACCGTTCTCAACCTTTCACGGCACACTGACAACCACTAATCAGCAATTGACAGCCAGAGATTGTAGTAACACTTTTTCGAAGATGTACCAGACATATACTCTGAGGCTCTGAGGTTTATCATCGTTCGTTATTCAGTAATTGGTGGCACTATGTAACGGTGTGATCGGTGTGTACTTTTCGTAGCGATGAAAGCATGTAACGACTTATAAGGCCTATGTAGGGTTAGGATGGCGTACATTGTCAAAGGAGACAATTTGTCTGATGTAAAATATTTGGACAGAAAATAAAAATAAAATAGAAAATAAATGTTGCCATCCATTATCCTTATCAGAGTAATGGTGAACATTCCATCCTTCACGCGGTCGTCCGATTGCATTTGATTAACGGAAGGTACAGATTGAATGTGTCTGATTTCCGACAGAACTTTCGCAATTTAAGATTTCAGTCAGAATTATAATTTGTAATTAAAGTCTTCGGTAAGAGACTCAACAATGAAGTTTATTCTTCCTTCTGTAACAGCATGTTCTAGTCGTGTTGGTTATATTACAGATATACGACGGCTACCTGGCCTAGTATTAGAAACACCGCAGTTGTTACTATACACAAAGGTATGTAAAATATTATGTGGTAATACTAACACAACGGAGAAGTTCATGGAAGTAGGCCTAGGCCCACTGGGGCTGTAGTGCCAAGGAAAAAAAAAAATAACACAATTCAGAATCCTGAAATTCTGACCATAACATATCTCGTTTTTATTTTGGGTAGCATAATGTTTAATCTGAAACAAAATGTAATAAATTAATCTAAATTTTGTACCTTATAGGGTGGCAGCATACCGCATTTGACGTATGAAGTGTTGCAGATGGTCTCCAAAGAACAACATGCTCTGCACATACCAATTTCAACTGTCGCACATTGTCATGAAGCAGTGGTTGCTTTTGGGAAAGGCATTGCAGACTTCATTGGGCTTAAAGTATTTCTGATATACTTGTTTATGCTTTTATACCACTTCAAAGCAATCATAATATTTCTGTGTGAATAATAGGCATTACCAAAATATAACTGATTAAGGTACATGACTAAGCTTGCTATGGTTCACGTATTTTTCAAAATTTCGGATATATGATAATGGTTCAGGTTATGGGCTAAACAGTATCTCAGTGTTAGTGAACTTTAACAGAATTGTCAGACCACAGCATGCATAGATCTGCTCCTCATGTAAACATATACACACAAATATTATCTGCCAGTCAGAAAGTAACAATAATAAATTAAACAAAACTGAAGTAGTTCAGTAGCACACAAATATTACCAGCTGATTCAAATTGCTTGTTTTACGTTATAGGAATATTTGACATTCTGCAGTATACATGACCCAGCAGCTGTGACTCCCCACGGATTCAATGAGAGGGACACAGTATCGATATGGTCTCGAACTGGAAGGAAACAGCTGGACCCTGACAAGTATGATATGAGTTCTTTCTTGTGCCACAAAGAATGAGAAATGTTACTGTACTGGTTTTTAAGGTTTCACAACAAAATGTTCTGGAAAAACTCATGATACCAAATGTGCATAGAGATGCTAAGAGATTAAAAATGAATAATTAGACAAAGAAGTGCATAATTTCTGTTGCCATTGATTTCTTTAAAGTTGTCATGTGCAACCTCACTATAAAATGGAAAAATGCGTAGCTGCCATATTTCAAAGTCATATTTAACACACAAGATAAAAAGGCATAAGAAAGCTGCTCTATTTAAAGAGATTTTCACTGCAGTAAATTGCAGGATTCTGCATGAGAGGGTGTTACCCCAACTTCAGAAGTCATTATGCCCATGATACTATAGGTAATTAAAAAGAATAAACGTAGGGTGGCCTTCAGTGGCTTGAATTTTGAAAATGTGCCCATTAGTTTTGCCATATCAGTCCTCATGCAATAACTATAGAACAGCTGAACAGATTTTCATGCAAAGTGATATTGGGCATTTACTAAAATTTGTCAGCATATTCCATTCTGGTTACAATCAGATGACAATAAGGAATGCTTTACACAAAGACCTGTGTTTCTCCATGCATCTTGAATGTGGCATACCAAATATTTAATTAAGTGAAAAAAAGTTTGAACAAACATTGTAAAGAAGAATAAAATGCACACTTTATGTCCAGTACATTCTTTTCCATAAGTCTCACAATATTTGAGTTAATTAAACAAAATGGACATTTTTATATGTTTATCTCATCTCGAGAACTACTGACTAATTTTGTTCAAGTTTTAATTGAAGGCAGGCCCACCTTGCCTGTCTGGCCCACGTATTTTACATTAATTATAAGAGAGCATCAGAAGTCATTACTTATGATTGAAAATCCAGCAACAACAAAGCAAACCTGTCAGAATTATTGCACTATTTCCTAACATACTCCTTGTTTACATTATCACTATAGCTTTTATGGCTTTTAGTATGTAATATTTCATGATTTTAACTAAGAAAACATATGTTGACATTAATTTTATCACTTTGATATCAAAAGCTGATACTATGGTGATGGTAGCTTGGTCACATTACCTGGCATTGACAAGGCAAATGTCAAAACGCCCCTCCAAACTTTTTCTGTCAGTGACAAACAATGTCAGTAATAAATGATGATGTGAACATACTTTTTAAATACATTTGAGAATATTTTGTTAGTCCTCCGATGCTCTGTTCTCTGTAAGAGACATTGTGCATAGTTCAAATAGACCTTAAACAAGTGAAAAATTGTAACAAATTATAGGGTCAGCAGTCCTCATTTTCAGTTTTCCTTAGCGTGTGCAGTAATTAAAAACAAAAGGGCAAATAATATATAGAAGATGGGTGGACAGATAAGTTGGCACTATAAGCAATTACAAATGTTAATATGATATCTTCAGGTACATGGACATGATAGAAGCCTTTCAGCCTGACATGTACCAGTCTTTATGTGATGGTGATACAAACCCCACTAGCAGCAAGAAGAGGGTCCAAAAGTCAATCAACAGGTCAATAGCATTCCTTGAGAAATGTCTTGAGAGACATGAGAAATCAGAGGTAAAACCATTGTTCACTAGACATACAATTCATTAATGTAAAGCAAAGTTTTCCCAGGACATAAGTAATGTGTCATTAATGCATGTAGGGGGAGTGAGGTAAAGCTTCATGCCTTCTGGACCTCAAACCTAGATAAAGGTGAGTGGCCAGCTTCACAATCCAGCCATTTCATATAAGTACCCATTGAACAGGAGGCTGGGTGGACCATCGAGTCAACCTGGGACAGTGGTGGTGAAAATAAAAATCCTGCCCATATTAGGAATTTAACCCCCGCCTTCCGTCCTGGGCTTATCATAGGACTTATGAACATCAGTTCAATTTACCACACCCCCCTCCTCTCTTCTTCCTCCCACTTTGGAGCATAGGGCCGATTTCTCAGTTTCGTGATCATTTTTTCAGGAGTCCTTGGATGGCTGATCAGCTCATCACAAGGTCTCTACCTAAACACAGAACACAAACACAGAATAAATGCATACACACACCAAACATCCATGCCTTGTGTAGGATTCGAACCCATGATCCCAGCTTTTACAAGCAAGCAAAGACAGTGCATGCCTTAGACTGCTTGGCTACCATGACCGGCATTTACCACATTGATATAAATGAAAACAAGCTGCATGTTCCGTAACTCGACAGACTACAACTTACTGGCCAGGATTTGCTTCATGTCAGGAATGTGCACTCCCATGTTCAGAACATTACTCACTGCTGTCCAGTTGATGCTGGGAGCTCCTCCTGCAGGAGTTAAGTTGTTTCAAGTGTGAAGCTGACCAAGGTTGTGAATGCATGGAGTTTTATTTTCAACCCTTCATGGTTTGAGCTTGTGCACAAAGATAATTTATTACAAGCAGTGCCATTGACATTTCCGCTCCAAAATGCTGTACCATCAAAGAATTGTAGAGCTTTCTTTTTATTAGAGTTACCAAAGCCAGGTTATAATATGGTCATTTCATTTTATCTCTTTTCGCTTCTCAAGTATGCTTTAATTCCCATTAATCTGATACATGCTAACAAAATTTGTCATCTATCCATAGGTGCTTCTGTCATCAAAATATAGATCCTTCAGAAATTTCCCAAAAACTAATTTACCATGTGCTGCATATTTGAAAGAATGTCTGGTATTTGATCATATACTAGCTGAAAAGTTTATTGAAATGATAATGATCGTTAAAAATAGAGAATTTCAGTTGTTTTGCTTTGTGCAGGTTCTGAAAGAAAGTGCAATCTTAGGGGCAGTGGAGGGAGGCTACAGCATTGAAGGAAGAGAAGACTCTGCAAAGTATCTTGCAAATAGCTCTGTCTTTGGTTATGTTATTGATGGACTCCATTCCAATGGTCCTGATGTGGAGCAGTTGACTATTGAAGATGTGAAGCCAGTTCTGGAAGCAAGTCTGGTAATTGAAATGAAAGTTGTGGGAACTGGAAGCAGTGAATTGAAAATTCATGATTTATTTCACCGTCTTTTAGTGCATACACTTATCTACCTCACTCCTTTCTCTCGCATTACATGTTTCGGCACAAAAGTGCCATCTTCAGGTGCTTATTCGATTAACGTTAAACTAGTTCACTGCATGCCTTGTCTTCATATTAAAATAATTAAAATATATATTTATCATATATACTGAT